GCTGTTCTATTGGCTTTTCTGGGGTCTGTTGACAGGCAGAGAACCGTTCCTGAGTGCTGGGTCTCGGCTGAGGTGACAGACCCAATGGGTTATGAGCCCCGGTAGGCCGCCCGGGGCGACCCAGGCAGTCCCAGGATGGGGACCACAGTGCACAGGTCCGACCACATATTCCGATGGCAATGGCCTTGCTGAGGGAACCCATTCATGTGCGCGGCCCCAGGGACAATATCCCAATGGGGGATCTGCACGTGTGGAGGCGTTAGAGTGGGACTCTGTCTCCAGGGAAGAGAGTGTGAGGTGGAAATGCGCCTGGAATGGCAGGATAGGTGGTCCCTTCATCGTGAGGATTCTAGAAGCCATGGAAAGGTTTGAACAAAGGAGGGGCACGATCTATTACCGTCTAACGGTTCTCCAAAGACTTTCAAGAAAAACTGGAGTGGAGAGGGCTTGAGACGGAGCAGAGACCACTCTTAGAGATGGAAACTATACCAAGATTGCAACATTTTTCATTCGAGATCAGTGCATAAGTTACAGCAGTTTGATTGGTCACACATTGCCACATTCCAAAGAAGATTATTACTCCATGAAGAGGGGCAGTGTCTGTAGGGGTCTTACCTCTGGTGCTGTTTGGTCTTTATTATTTACAGGGAAAAAATAAAAATGTATGGTTTGCAGCTGCATGTCCTGTGACTCAGACTGCATAGTCACATTCCTCTCAAGGTTCAAAATAATTTAAAGTTCAAACAGCTTTAAGTGTGAATTATGGCCGGGTGCGGTGGCTCACGCCTGTAATCCTAGCACTCTGGGAGGCCAAGGTGGGAGCATCACTGGAGGTCAGGAGTTCAAGACTGGCCTGAGCAAGAGCGAGACCCCGTCTCTACCAAAAATAGAAGAAAAAAGATAAGCCTGGCAACTAAAATAGAAGAAATTAGCCAGGCATGAAGGCTGGCACCTGTAATTCCAGCTACTTGAGAGGCTGAGAGAAAAGGATTGCTTGGGCCCAGGAGTCTGAAATTCCAGCGAACTATGATGATGCCACTGCACTTTGGCCAGGGCAACACAGCGAGACATTGGGGGTGGGGGGAGGATGGTAAAAAACCGAGAAATTAGGGATGAAGGACACTAACAGATTGAGAAAAGGAAATAAAGGGGAAAATTTTGACATAAATTCTGGTCATTTATAAGCAAGACAACTGACCTCACACGAGAATTAAAAATTGTGTTAACTAGGAAGAGCTTGCAGATCCTAAAATTGCTCCAATTAACACTCTGCCTGTATACACTGCAGGTTTTTAAAGAAAATAAAGGCTCTTAAATTTCTTCTGATTACAAAGGTTTTCTGGGAGCATAATTAGGGTGTTATCAAGAAAATTTCACATTCCACAAGAGACATAAGAAGATACCCACAGAGCATGTGTGTGGTCATAATAGGTTTGTTTAAACAAGACATTTAAGACTTCCAGATGACACCCCACAAACTTATATTGATTCAGAATCATCAGTCATCTTTGCAGAGAGAAGAGAGTAAAATATTAATAGTGAACATAATATATGCCAGTAAAATACGCTGTCGTACAAGTTGATGTTTAGAAATTGAGATTCTTTACATCCTATGTTGGTATTTGCAATTTACAATCTTTTATTCATGTTTAAGTGTGTTATCTTTCAATAAAAGAGACAGGAAGTTTTACATCTTGCACTAATCAAACACATTAGCAAAATAATACAGACTCCATTTGCAAATCATGCTTCCAAAAGGACAAAAATGCATATCCAAGTGATATAAGGACACTAAATGTCCACTTAAAAACTGCATGGAACAGTCTTCTTTGTTCTTCTTAGGATCAACGTTAAGTGGAGCCGACGGCCATCCTAGAAACTTAGCTACATGAAATTCTTATTTCTACAAAATGTGTATCCTTTCCATTTATGAAAACTCTGAGGTAAAACAAACTTAGATGGAAGGAAATTGTAAGGTAAGAGTAAAAACATAAGAAATAATAGAAGGAAAGCCACAGCATCTGTGTAAAAAAAACAAACGATTTTTCCTCTGTTCAAACCCTAGAGCAAGCAACACAGAACAGTTGTGTGATCAGATGCATGGGGGTTTTTGCACCCACACCAAGCTATTCTCCCGTGAACATGAGCTGACTGATGTCCTCCAACTCCACTCCAACATTATCGACCTGCAGATAGCATCACATACCCCAGTTTGAGGGCTTACACCCCAAGACTATCCTCCCACTTCTCATGCAAATCACAAGTCCCAAAACCTGTGTTTTGACTGACCAGTTAT